CGTATTCCGGATTCCGTGGAAAATATTTTTGTCCGGATTCCGTATTCCGGTTTCCGGATAATTTTCGTTTGTCCGGATTCCGGATTCCGGTTTTCCGATAAAATGTTTCATTCCAGAGGCCACATTCATGAACGTTTTCCTTGGAAAAAAAAAACCATTTTCCTTTCAAAAATCAACTGAATTATTTTCCAGAAGGGAAATGGAAGCGTCAAAATGTACAGAACATTATTCAAATGATTTTCCGACTCTCAGGGGCAGAAAATGACTATTGAACTAAATTTTCTCAAAAACTATGGACTGAAAATTTCTCATATCTGGTCACAGTACTTCACATTCCTAGCTCTATCCATTCATGTGATTTGTGACAAAAACATAGTTTTTTTAAAGTTGAAGAGCAACAATTTTTGGGTTTAAAATTAGATAATAATGCACTTGATATACTATTCTATCAACATACAACTTTTTAGAATCCAAAAGTTCGTAAAATTGACTGTAAACATATATCGAAATTTTTATACTTATTTCATAAAAATATAAGGATTTTCCAAAAAGAAAACGAATTTCCTTCAATTTTCACGCCTTTTCAGTTGATTTTCGGAAAGAAAACAATTTTCCAAAAAAAAGCGTTCATGAATACGGCCTCAGATTTCAAGCATATTTTTTAATAGGCAATAATTATCTGACTGTTTTGGACTTCCTCTGAATTCGCGCACTTCTTTGCCGCAAAAGGGACTAGGAAACTGAAGCTCGTTCCTAAGGGACCAACTTCGTTTTTCGATGCAATTTTCATGATGAATAATTAGAAAAAAATACACTTGCAACATTTTCCTGAAGTTACAGTAGGAATGTTTGGAACATTGAGAACGCAACTGCAGCTAAAACTGTTCGACAAAAATAGACTACTTACAAATTAAAAAATTTTACTGTTTCACTTTGTTATTTGAAACAATTTTAATTAAACTTTTAGTGTTGTTAAACTTTTAGTGTTGTTAGACTCCGACCAGAAATTTTTATTGCATTAAAATGTGTTGAAATTTATCTATTTTTCAAATATTATTGCGAAAAAATTCAAAGAAAATCCGAAATCCCCGAAAAACGGCGTTGAAAAGGAAGAAAATTCAAAAAAAGGTGCCGCCGGGGGACGAGGA